CTCCAGTGATGGAGAGTCTACATCTTCCCTAGGCAATTTATTCCATTGCTTAACTACCCTGCCTGTTAGGAAGTTTTTCCTAATGGCCAACCTAAACCACCCCTGCTGCAATTTAAGCCCATTGCTTCTTGTCCTACCCTCAGAGGTTAATGAGAACAATTTTTCTTTCTCCTTCTTGGAACAACCTTTCATATACACCTCTATCCTGATATAACACGGTCCTCAGGAGCCAAAAAGTCTTACCGCGTTATATCCAGAGGTGAAAGTAAGCCAGTACGGCGTACCGGCAAGAGCCGGTATGCCGTGCCGGGCTGGACCGGCCTCCCTGGCGGTGATTTAAAGGGCCCAGTGCTCCAGCCGCTGTGGGGAACCGCGGGCCCTTTAAATCACAATCGGAGCTCTGGCAGCGGGGCTTGGGCGGTGCTTTAATGGACCCGGGGCTCCCCACAGCGGCTGGTGCCTCTGGCCCTTTAAATCTCTGGCTGCTGGGCTCGGGCGGTGATTTAAAGGGCCCAGGGCTTCACACGAATTCGGATATAACGCGGTAAAGCAGCGGGGCTCGGGCAGCACTTTAATTCGTGTTATATCGGGTCACGTTATATCAGGGTAGAGGTGTACTGAAAAATTATTATGTCCCCCCCCTCAGCCTTCTCTTCTCAAGACTAAACAAACCCAATTACTCTATAGCTTACCAATTAATCAAATTAGTTTTTTGTGTGAAATTTACCAGGTTAGTTTTTCCCCACATTTTATAGTTATATCCACCCAATGAGAATAATCATAAAAAAAAACCAAGTAAACAAACAAACAAAAATGTGTTTAATAAATAAATATAAAGGGTACATTAAAAAGCAAACAACTCCACAACAATTAAACAATCTGCCTGTGATGGAATAGACGAGTTTAAAACCATGCCCTTTGGACTTCATGGGGACACTGCTACTTTCCAGTGGCTGATGGACAGTTGCTGTGGCTGCATGGGTCCTTCATGGCCACCTCCATTGACAGTATCATCTTCTACAGTGAGAGCTGGGCAAAACATATGAAACAGGTTGCTGCGGTATTTTGGGCTCTCAAAGAGGCAAGTTGGACGGCCAACCCAACCAAGTGTCTGGTGGCCACCCAAGAAGTCACTTACCTAGGGTATGCTGTGGCGGGGGGAAGGGTGAGAGGGAGAGCTATGACCTTTGGAGGAAAAGTCCAAGTCCTGGTGGCCTGCGGGATACTATTGACAGTTCATCCCAAACTCCGTTACCATGTCTGCACCCAAAAGGATCCACTGAACCAAAAGCGGTGACAAGGCATTTCAGGCACTACAAAGCCGGGTGATCCAGGAGCCAGTAATATTCCACTCAGCCATCTCAAAGCCCTTTATTCTCCAAACAGATGTGCCTGATATCAGACTTGTAGCAGTGCTATCTCAGGAATTCGGAGGAGAAGAACATCCTGTTCTCTATCTCAGCAGGAAGTTATTCCCACATGAGGTAGCCTAATAGGTCATCGAAAGGAGGCCCTGGAGGTAAAACAAGCCATGGATGCCCTATGCTATTATTTGTGGGGGCAGCCCTCCTGCCTAATAACTGACCATGCACCACCACTCTAAGGGCTGAAGTCAATGACAGGCCATAACCCAGGCATTATGCAGCGGCATCTCTCAATGCAGCCATAGAGCTTTCAACTGGTACATTGTTCAGGCATGGAAACTATATATGTGGACTTCTCACAGGATGGTGGGGACACAAACCAGCCGCAGGACACCACAGCCCAGAGTCTGAGGGGGAGGGTGTGTGAGAGGCTACACAAATACCACACTGGGCATGACAGGGTGAAAGAACAGTACTGGGCCCAGGTAACCCCACCCCTCCAGCCCTGCAGATCATGCTCCAACTGGAGAAAGGGCTGAAAAGGGAGCAACCCAGCTCAGAAGGGAGAGGCACAGGAGGGGGACAAACCTACCCTGAAGGTTACTGACAAGAGCACTGGAGCAGCCTCCCCGAGGGACTGACTGCATACTTAGGCCTGGTTGGGGCTGATGGTTTGGTTGCCTTTTCTTTTTCTTTTCACCTTATTTTGGACTTGAAGCTGGGGAAGACCAGAAGCTGGTAGGAAGTGACCCAAGTAGGGTTATTTGGAGGATATCTTTGGAGGCCAGATATTGTTGACCCTCCTAGGGTGCTGGATCAGAGCCTGGTGTAGTGGGTGCGCCTGGGCTCCCCTATCACTGCCCACCTCCCTGCACCGATTAAAAGAGGGCCAGGAATCCAAGACCTGCCCACTGGGAGGCGGCACTAAGTGTACGAACCAGTAGGCCACCTAACCCACCGATGCATAGTTGCCGACTCTGTGGGTGCTCCAGGGCTCAAGCACTGATGGGAAAATAATAGGGGGTGCTCAGCACCCACCCACTGGCCAGCAATCAGCTGTTTGGGTGTGGGCCCCGGGGCTGGCTCAGCACCCAGGGACGGTGGCACCACCTGTACTTCACACCTTCTTTCCCTCCCTTCACCTCTTCCCCCGAAGCCCCCGCCACTCGCTCCTCTCTGCCCCCTGCAGCACATGGAAGATGAGTGGCGCGGGGGCGGGGTGGAGAGGAATGAGCATTGGGCAGGGGGCCCTCAGAGGAGTAAGCAGAGAGGAGTGGATGGGAGGTGCTCAGGGGAGGGAACCTTTGGGGAGGGGCAGAGTGGAGTCAGGGCCTCGGGGGAGAGGGCAGAGTGGGGATGGAGCACCCACCGACAAAAAGAAAAGTCAGAGCCTGTGATCAATAACTTGATTACAGTCCCACATGAGGATCCAATTTTGTACAAAAACTTTCTTCTCAGAGGAAGGAAAATGACACTTACCAATTTCTAGATCTTGTTTGCCTAAAACATAAACAGAAATACACATAAATATTTATTATGAGCTTTCCTTCCCTTATGTGTTGTTTCTCTTTATCATCAAAGTTAAAGCCGGGTGATTATTTCTATTCAATTTCCTCTTTTCTATTGCTTCCCCACCATCCCAAATAACATTTTGGAGCAAAGTTAATCTAATTTAGACTTACCCCAAATGTTATGAAACTAGATTATCACACCCTGTTCTGGGGCACATCCCCATCCCAGTCAGGAAAAGACAAAAATGCCTCTGGGCTCAACTGGCGTTAAACAGGCATCCTGCAGGACCTACTCCACTTGGAGGAAATGATCTTGAAAGGGAGAGTTTGTCGCAGGAAGAGGGTGGCTGCTGGAACTCAGAAGTAGCTGATTCTTGCAACAGAGTCACTGGAAGACAACTTGTGATCCTCTGCCACTCACAAGAGTCCTTCAGACCAGGTACAAGCTGACTGCAGCAGGGAGCGGTTGAAGATAAACCTTGTTCTGGGATCTAGCTGTACTGAAACTTCTGTCACAAACACTTTATCGCTGCTACAACCCCAGCTTTGCAACAGTCTCTAGACTCTTCAGTCTGCCAGATTCCCTAGGCGTCTCTCTCTTCCTCCTGGGTAAGCCACACAGCTTTGCTGCCTCCTTAGACTGGATCTCTCTGCCTTCAGAACTCCTGCTTTGCACTCTGAGCTCTGTTCAGTGAGTCCAACTGAGATACTCCTGATACTCGCACACTCTTCAGGGATAAAGGCACCTCACTAAGCATTTGCAGTGGCACTCAAAGAGCATTGTCAAAACAGTCGGGTGTGTTAATCAACTGGACACAGCATAGGAAGGCCCTAGGTTATCATAGAGAATTGAAGGTTAAAACATAGACCATTCTGGTCAGCCCAGAGCCCAGATTCTGTAGCGAACCCCAGTGTTCAAGCTCTGTCTGTATCTCCATCCGACCTCCTTGTTCAGACTACAGGTCAGAGCCCCGACTCCTTCCAGCAGCCAGCTCTTATGCCCCACCTCACAGCTCTCCAGTCCTTGGTTCTTGAGCTGGAGAATGTTGCTCAGCTTCCCTGCTTAGATGTGGGGGAATCCATCTCCCTGTGGGTTGTTGATTGCTAGGGGTCAATATCCAGTGACTGGATTTGCCATTGTCTTCTCAGATGCTCCATCGATATGGGGACTAAGGCCCATAACACCAATACTGATGTCTCTTAGCCTGAGAGCAAACAGTCCTTTTCTACCCACTGGGTAACAATGTCACATATAGAGGAAACTGAGGCATACATAGAATTCATAAAAATATTGCAGAAGATTCCTACTTCATCCCAACTTCATTGACAAGCCAGACATCTATAGATTCTTCTGAAAGACTCTGAGACTGAGAGCTGGTCTGCACTGAAAACCTACACCCCTCAGACATGTAGCTATGCCAACCTCAACCCCTAATTGGAAGAACTTTTAAAGGGAGAGAGTTCTCTGTAAACATCCAATCAGGCCTAAAATGGTCCAGCCTATTACACACACATCAACCCTCCCCAGCCCAACAAAGAAAAATAAAAATAAATCAAAGAAACCAACAAGTCTATGTACCATTTTGAGACTGAAGTCAAAATGTGTATTTGTGGGAAAAGGGAAATTGAAACTTACCAACTTCTTCAGTAAGTTTCCCTTAAAAATACAGAAATAAATATAAATTATTTTCCTCTCCCTGCTTCATGAAACAGTGTTAAAAGACTATATCCTATAGCAGTGGTTCAGAAACTTTTGTACTGGTGACCCCTTTCAAATAGCAAGCCTCTCAGTGCAACCCCCCTTATAAATTAAAAACACTTTTTTATATATTTAACACCATTATAAATGCTGGTTGCAAAGTGGGGTTTGGGGTGGAGGGTGACAACTCACGAGCCCCTATGTAATAACCTTGTGACCCCCTCAGAGGTCGTGACCCCCAGTTTGAGAACTCCTGTCCTATAGGTACAAAATTCATTAGGAGCATGGAGGGACACGTCCAATTTATTTGGAAATTGGTCAGATATTCTTTATGGATAAAGTAAACCCGAAGCATGGACATCTGTGTCTGAGTTATGTGAAGAGCTGATATGATTTTTTTTCCTAACTGAAGAAGAAATGTGTTTATTTACTGATTTACCACATGGGCATTTCTATTGGGCCTATGACTGTAATATCGAGGTGGACTACACTTTGTTAACAAAAAAGATCTTTGAAGTACAAATATGACAGGCTAGGCTTTGCAGAACCTTCTCTCAAGCGGGACAGCAACGGATAGTGGTAACCCCCTGAGAATTGGGAATAGGGTAACCAGACAGCAAGTGTGAAAAATCGGGATGGGGGTGGGGGGTTATAGGAGCCTATATAAAAAAAAGACCCCAAAATCGGGACTGTCCCTATAAAATCAGGACATCTGGTCACCCTAACAGGGAAGAGGGGGAGATGGAGGACTGAGCAGAACACAGATGTATCTGCTATGATCTTTGGTTCAGTTCTATAGCCTAAGACTCTCCTCCCTCCTATATTCCCACCTCCAACTCTACCACCACCCTCTATCAATATCCCCACTTCCCACCAAACACACACCTCTGCCCCCACCCTCTATTAATAAATTCACATGCATCCTTCTTCTTTATGTAGGACAAGATCAGCAGGTCACACATTCTTTTAATATTAAATTCTGAAATTTCTCTTATTTATTTATTAGAATAAAACCTTTATATACAGTATATTTCTCCATCTGATATTTACCTTTCATTTTAAAGAGATAAACAGTGAGGCCAAGGAAACCAAACAAAACCACCAGGATCACGCTGAGAGCCACCATCCAGGAATTCACCCTCGGGAAAAATGGATCTGAAAAAAACCACACCCAGAGCTTGCCTTCACTTGGAAACGGTGACGAAAATCAGATGTTTTTATTCCATACAAATACATAAATAGTACCCAGCAGGATTCCTCTGAGATAAGAGTGAAAGAATGGCCATTTCTACACTACACAAAATACCAGAAACTGATTTTAAAAATGGCTCCAATCAACACAGATTTAACACTGATTTATCCTGGAAAAAAGAGACCTGATTTCATCCATTGCTATTCAGAGAGCCATAGAATTCAGGGGCAAATTCTCTGCTCATAAAACCCCACTGACTTCAATAGAGTTACACGAGCAAAGAATTTAATCCTTAGTGTTCAGCAACATTCAGAAATAGTCAGATTAATTCGAATATTTTTGAAAAATCCACTATTACCCCGCAAATATTTGAAGGAATCATAATCACAATTTCTCCAAACAATTCTGTAGCAAACTAATTAATCTTCATTTACTGTTCTTATGTTCACAGTGATTCAGAAATCCACCCAGGATGGAATTTTTGAAATGTACCTAAAGTTTTCTCTGCCCAGGGTTTGTGCACTGATACAGTGAAACTGGGGCATCCCTCTTATGTGGCCATTCTTAAGTTGGTTGAAGAGTTGACAACATATGAGGGTTGCACTAATTTGAATAAATTGATGCACACAACCTTAAATCACAAATGAGCTTAATAGTGCCCTACCTCCATTTAGCTGAAGTTGGTAAGGAATTGACTGGATCTAAATCTATATAAGGCCCTCTGAAACTTAAATGAGTGTTCACCCAAGCAAGTGTCATTGATTAACTAAATAGTTAATCAGTGCAACTAAATAGTTAATCAGTGCAACAGTAGACAAGGGTAAAATGAGTCCCTTTGTGGATCCTGACCAAAGTGACTTAAGGAACACAAGTCCCACTGAAAGTTAGTAGAAAGATCATCACATGACTGAGGTGACATATCACACAAGTAATGAACAATATTTGGAGGGAGCGAGAAGACCACAAAGAAGCCACAGTACAGAATTTACCACAATCAAAAACATCATTAAGGTGGAGTTAAGGTTGCAGGAACATACTGCCTCAGTGGATTGAGTGAAAGTTGCTTATCAAAAGGTTGAAAGTTTGTGTCTGTAGCTGCGTGTGTGCTAGAATATCAGGAAAGTCAGATTTAAGATTAAATGTACATGAAACTTTGATAGACTGAATACTCACAATAAAGGGAATCAAATTGCGTAAGCTGTGACCTTGTAAAGATACCAGCCTCCCATCTTCTGTGTTTGTATGTGGATTATGAAATATCCACCACAGACATTTTAGTTCTTGTTTTCCCATATTTTGTTTTGTTTCTGGTGGTGGTGAGTTCAGTGTCGGGTTTGGATGGTAACTGACCTGCTATATAAACTGCTGATTCCTTTTCTTGATTGAGAACGGTGTTCCTGATGCAACAGGACAAGTTTTGGTTTGCATGCTCTGTTACAATGATCACAGTTTCTGTTTCAAACAAGTTGTTATCCCCTTGGGATTTTGTTTCGGAAAGTGATGGTAAATGTCGTCCATTGAGATCTTTCCACAGCACCTCAGGCTCTGGGTACCAACCAGCTGACCGACAAACCACCCGGATTCCCCCATCCTGGTGACCCTCAACAGAGATGAGAGGAGCAGAGCCCAGACCTAAGGGGAAAATCCATAAAGGTGTCAATTCCATGAATTAATTTATAAAGCAGAAGTGATGAGGGACACTTTGTGGATCCCTTACTCATAGTAGAAAGCACTTATTCATGGGGGTAGTCAGTAGAAGGGATAACTGCATACTGGAATGTCTGCAATCCCAATACTCATGGACACAAAACACGTAAACAAATATGTAAAATAATTTCACTGAGTCAGTGGGTGGTATTGTTGTCTCAACACAGAAGCAACTGAGTGCTGAGCACCTCTGGAGACAATGTAGATACCTGAATAGGATCTGAACTTTTGAAAATCTGATCATTAGTGTATTGGATAGATATATTTATTTTTTAAAAAATCTAATTAGCTTCATGGTTATAGTGTCAAAGCAGCAGGGGAGAAATGCTCAGTCTCATCTAAGAATGATAAATACATAATTTTGACTCCCCACTGTGATGCTCTGCACTCCATATTCACCATAGTGATATAATTAAGATAAATTAGATTGCATCTTATACAAGATGTGTCATGTAAGGTGTCAATAGAAAAGTTATGATTTGCTGAGTATGGTTATCTGATTTGTATGCA